GTCTTTAAGCCCCATTATTAAGAGAGTTAATCATCTGAACCAACACTGGACTCTCTGGCACCTGAGAGGTGAGGCGATAGAAGACGACTGGAGAACAGCCAGAGAGAGAGAAAGCGTTCTTTCTACACTTTATTTTCCCCTTATAATGTTAGTCAAGGTTTCTTACAACACAATTCTGTTTTCCATGACAATGTTCCACCCTGCCTCTGACCTTTACTGTCTAATGCTCTCTGCGTTTGAGCTGAACGAGGGATTTTATCTCGTTCAAAACAACTCATCTATCCATCAATTTAGTCGTTTGTTTGTTCATTCATTTATTCTGTCACTTCGTCATTCTTTCATTAGTTGGTTAATTTGTTTGTTCAGGTGTTCATTCATTAGTTTATTTGTCGTTCTGTTCACTTTTCTATTTCTGTGTTTTTTGATTCATTCGGTTGTTTGACTCCTAGTCATCCATTCATTCATGTTCTTAGATTGTTTTTCATTCTTTCATTCGTTTGTTCATTTATTTGATCACATCTTCACACATTTTTTTTGCGGTCATGTTTGTTCTTTTGTCTGTTGATTCATTAGTAACTTTACGTTAGAGTTGATTTTCTGATGCATCATGATTCTCTCTTCCACAATTCTGAATTGATTCGGAAAACTCGAATGCATCGAAGCTAAGAAACCTGTGTTTTGCATGACTGTGTGGTTGTACCTGCCGGTGTTTCAGCTTTTTCTCTTATAAAAATGCTGTACAAAGGCCTTATTTTGTTGTTTGGAAGTGCAATGAGGGTAACTATATATATATAAAAAAACAAGCTAGGCAATGAAAACAAAGGAAACAGGAACTAAACACAGGACACTGAAGCACAGGAACAATAGAAACAAAACAAAACTTCAAAATAAAAGTCTATTAAACGAGACAGGGGAGCACAGGCCAGGATCATGACAGCATGAAATCTGTTGAATGAGACAAAGATTATTGGATTATGTTTGATTATTTCAGTCTTTTTACTTAAATTTTGTGTTACTTATCATTCCTTTGTAATGTGAAATTCCTTTGTTTGTGAAAAGTGCTTCACGGTTAATCAGTGTGAATTTTTCAGTGTATTTGCTTGTATGTTTTGAAACTATAGTTAGATAATTCTTAACATAATATTTAATATTTTAAATATTATTAATATTTTAAAATGTATAATTATTTTAAAAAGTATAATTATATAATTCATTTATATAAATACTTTAATAAAATCCATCACATAAAAAAGTGACACAAAAAAATTCTTTAACCTCATTAATTCATAAGAAAAAAAAAATCTAGATCAAGAATGGTTTTCGAATCGAATCCTGATTCCCAGATTCGGACCGGGTCATGCCCAAAGTTTCCCGCCCATCGGCTACTTTAGGTGTGTTTGAGGCCTTTTGTTGGAAGAGTATCAGTTTTGTTTGTGTGTTTTTATCCTAGACTGTGGTTTTTATAGAGTAAACAGGACAGAGCCTGTTTGTGTGTATAAGATTAATCACGGATTTGAATAAATGAATCATCTCAGCAGATCATTTGTATCATAATAACATTGGCAAACACAACACAGACCCGCGGCCCGCGGTCCGTCATTAGATCCCATGGCTGTGCCGTGACCCGTTAATAGAAGCTAATGTACCTTACAGAGTGTTAATTTGGGGTGAAACGAACTCTGTGTGTGTGTGTGTGTGTGTGTGAGACAGTCAGACAAGAGTTATGAGCTGGAGTGCGTGCCATAGGACGGGTCAGCGGGCATCTAATGAAGGCATTCCATAATAATCCGACGCTCGCGCCATTGTCTTTTTACTGTGTGTGTGTGTGTGTGTGTGTGTTAGTGTAATGCTAGTATCAGGTATTTCTATCGATGACTCCAGGGATCGATACGTCCTGGGTTACGACCCATCCATTATGTGTACGTGTGTGTGTGTGCTGTTGGAGATCTCTGCATTTGTGCTGGATGTGAAATTGTGCTACAGACATGAACAACGTGAATTTATATTTTACAAAACAACTAATCTGTCCATCAATTCAGTCGTTTTTTGTTCATTCATTCATTACTTTGCTTTATTTCCATTCTTTGTCTGTTGATTAATGGTTCAATCTGTTCACTTATCTGTTTCTTTGTTCTTTGATTCATTCGTGTGTTGATTCATCCATTCATTCATATGTTCATTGAGTTTTGTTCAGTCGTTCATTAGTTTATTACTTAATTCATTTATTCCACCATTTGTTCATTTATTTGTTCATTCATTACTTTAATTCATATGCCTGTTCCTTCATTTATTCAGTCGTGTTCATTTGTTCATTCATTAGTTTATTTGTTGTTCTGTTCACTTGTCTGGGTTCTTTGATTTATTAATTGTAGATTGATTCATCTATTGATTCATCCATTCCTTATTTTGATAATACTTTAATTAGTTTGTTCTTTTATTTGTTCATCTGTTCATTTGTATGTTCATTCCTTCATCAAGTTTATTGATTTTTGTTCATTATTTTTTTTGTTCACTCATCCATTCTTGTTTAATTCTTCTTTAATTCATAATATACTTGTTCATTCATTCAGTCGTTCATTAGTGTATTACTTAATTCATTTATTCCACCATTTGTTCATTTATTTGTTCATTCATTACTTTAAGTCATATGCCTGTTCCTTCATTTATTCAGTCGTTTTCATTTGTTCATTCATTAGTTTATTTGTTATTCGGTTCACTTTTCTATTACTATTAGTTTACTGATTGATTCATTGATTCATTCTTATGGTTGTTGGTGTTTGTTGATTCATGCATTAGTTTAGTTAGTTTGCTCGTTGTTAGTTTGTTTGATCATATCTTAATTTGTTTATTTATTGATTGTTTGTTCTTTTGACTGTTCATTTATTTAGCCATGTTCATTTGTTTGATTGTTCATTCATTAGTTTATTGATTGATTCATTTGTTCATTCATCTTCATTTTTTTTCATTAAATTATTAGTTTAATAGATCATTTGTTCATTAGTTAGTTCATTAGTTATTTGTTCATCTGTTCATTTGTCTGTTCTTTCAGTTGTTTGTTAACTGATAAATCTGTTCATTCATGTTCATTAATCTTTATTGATTCATAAATCCTTTCATTTGTTCATTGATTAGTTCATTCATCCATTCTTGTTGATTAATTTGGTCTTAAATTTATTCATTATTTTGTTAATTCATGACATGTTTGTTCATTTGTCTGTTTCTTCATGTGTTGATTGATTCAAGTGTTTGTTCATGTTCACTGATTTGTTCATTCGCCCATTTGTTCATTCATCCAATCTTGTTTGTTTGTTCATTTATGTTTATTCATCTATTCATTCTTGCCTCATTTCATAAATTCATTCATTAGTTTGTTCATTAACAATAGATTTGTTTGTTTGTTTGTCACGTTCATGTGGTTGTGTGTTCATTCAGTTGTCCATTCATATGTTAATTGATTTGTTTGTTGACATAATCTCTCATTAATTTGCTCATTCATTCATTCACATTTTTCTATTAGTTCATAGTCATTCATTTGTTTGTTTGTCTATTCATTTATTCATCTGTTCATTCATTTAATAGTTAGTCCATTCACACAAAGCAAAGAGGACGAATGATAGAGAGAGTATACGAGAGATCTCAGAACGTCATGTTTATTTGAACTGGGAAGCTAAAAATAACCATCAGTTACGCCATTAACCAGGGATCAGTTTGAGACCGTAAGATCCTGTGTCATAATGAGAGCCCAAAACAGGCCCAGTTTGAGCGTGAAGCCTCTCTGCACCCAGAGCTCAGCCGACGAGAAATAGAAGAGGCTCTGAGAAATCTGATATTTGTGAATAAATTGGCGTAATGGGAGTTTCTGTTGCAAACGTTTATTCTGCATTATCTAAAACTAACTTATACTCATTTCATAGTGTTTCAGTTGTACTCTACCATTCAAAAGCTGGACATTATTTTCTTTTTTTCTTTTTAAAAGAAGTCTCATGCTCACCAAGGCTGTATTTATTTGTGCAAAAATGGCAATATTGTGAAATATTATTACAATTTCAGCCGTATTGGTGCAAAGCTGAATTTTCAGCATCATTACTCCAGTCTTCAGTGTCACATGATCCTTCAGAAATCACTCTAATATGATTATTTGATGCTCAAGAAACATTTCTGATTATTTTCAATGTTGAAAACAGTTGTGCTGCTTCATACACTCTAAAAAATGCTGGGTTGTTTCAACCCAAATTTGGGTCAAATATGGACAAACCCAAATGTTGGGTTAAAAATGTAATTTAAAATTTTAACCCAACTTTAACTTTCAACTGTAAATTTTTTAATTACATTTTTAACCCAACATTTGGGTTTGTCCATATTTGACCCAAATTTGGGTTGAAACAACCCAGCATTTTTTAGTGTATTTTTTTGTGAAAACCGTGATACATTTTTTCCCCCAGGATTCTTTTATGAATAGAAAGTAAAAACAAACAAACAAAAAAAAACAGGATTTCTCTGAAATAGAAATCTTTGGTAACATTACTTGTACATATTGAACAGTAGTGAACATAACTTATAATGGCACTTTAGAAAGGCAGCACTCTGTTCCCTGACTCACTTCCTTAAAGTCACCATGAAATCTAAATGGACAGTTCTTATTATTGCAGTATTTATTATAAATGATTTATCTATGCACATCTTTTTTTTTTTTATTCTTGCGCCCTTATTAATCTTTAATCAAAATCCCTCGCTCCCTCTTGCAGCGTCTCTTCTCTTCTCTGATGATGTGTTCACTGGCGCGAGGGCGGGGCAACCTGTCACTCACATGAGATCCACCAATAGCAAACCACAACCATCCAATCAATTCCCCATGGACAAAATCAAGTCCCGCCCTAATTTTTTTTCTTGTTCGAGAAGCCGTTTCACCCAGATATGCATCACAATAGGGAAGAAAAGACTATCACAACTTCCATTTCGTGTTGATTTTAAGGCTCACGCTGTCTGTGTTTTTGTCCCAGGTGATGATGACTTCCTGTTGGGTTTGGGAGAGCTGCCTGAGACCTTCCCGAGCGACCCGCCGGAACCTCTCCCACACTTCCTTCTGGAGCCGGAAGACGCTTACATCGTCAAGAACAAAGCCGTCAATCTCTTCTGCACGGCCACGCCAGCCGCACAGATCTACTTCAAGTGCAACAGCGAGTGGGTCCATCAGAGAGAGCACACGATAGAGGAGCGGGTGGACGAGACGTCGGGTCAGTCACACACACACACACACACACACACACACACACACTTCATTCACCATCACTCTCGTTTATGGGTCGGAAACATTATGGTCTTTTCTAAAGGTGCAATAAAAACGTGATAGCTCTGGTTTATTCATGGTTTCCATTGCTAAAGGTGCTGCTAGAGAGATAGATAACCCCCTCCCTGACTCGGGTTTGTGTATTTTTCTGTAATGTTATCAGAGCTCTCAAGGATTTATTTTATTTGACTGTTATGGACACTGAGATTAAGGCTAGTCACCAACGACTATGCCCAGAGACACAACCTAGATGACTGACCGTCAGTGAATGTCAAATCATATAATATAGTGATTTATACAATACAGATCGTATTGAAGCAGCTTCATGGTGATGATAAACAGGAAAATAACAGTTGCAAAATTCATTAATTATTAAACAAATTCAGTTTTAGCTGTGAAGCAGCTCTACAGAAGTCAAGTGTCATTATTCAGCATCAATTATGAAACAAATTCAATTTATCTACTGTATAAAGTGGCTCTACAGAAGACAATAGTGTCATTATTCAACTCAGTATTTCTGTGTGGATTCTATTTAGTTCAATAACAGTGTCAATGTTCAGTTCGATTCAATTCACATTTATTTGTATAGCGCTTTTCACAATATGTTGCAAAGTTATTCTGCTTTACAGCAGAATTGAATTCTGTTTGCATCATTGATAGTTATTTTCCTGTTTATTGTTTAAAGCTCTACTTGACTTTATCCAATGCAATTCGCCTTTGGCTAAGCCACACCCTAGAATGTAGATTGACCAATCACAGCGCAGCCAAGAACGAGCTCCAACACTTTTTCACAGCGCTCCATTGACTTTAACACAGGCGTCTCTTAATATTTTTGGTCTCGGCAGGCTAGTTTTATCAAAAATATGGTTAAATATTGTGCCTGGGGCATTTGTAACACAGATACGTGTTTCCCAGAGAGGTTGGAGGGGGGTGTGCGTTTTTTTCTCTTCCCAAACCCGAAGTCAAATCCTGGCAAGTGTCGTCTAGCACACGCTGCTAATAAATACAACGTTATACTCGCGTAGTCCGTTTGCTTTGTAATAACGATTATAGAAGTGAATAGAGACCTACCCAGCTTTGCATGAACAGTGTTGCTCCTTGATATTGTTAGTCCCAGCCTCCGTCTCGATTAGTAGGATATGCGGTGGTTCATTTTTTGACTGTGACCGGTATGCTTTTGCCTCTATTTGGATGCCTTGTTGTTCCTTGCGTTTCACCTGTATGTCATGAATATAGCCTTCGGACGTATATTGCAGCCACTTTTGCCTACTTCTATCGGACACTTTATTTGCTGCTTTATAAAAGTTTGATAAAATTTCAGCAGGAAGAGCTGTCACAGCATAAGCCATGTTGATACCAGAGCCCAGATGAAGTTTGTTTGTCGGACGTAGCAACAGTAACTAAGGGGGCGGGGCTTAGCCAAAGGCGAAATTCAGTTCAAATTTTGTTCTCTTCCAATAGTGGCAGTAACGTAATATTAATTGACTTTTAAACGGATGATACAAAAGAAACAAGATTTCAAGATAAATGATTAGACGAATAATAAGATATTCACTCTTAAAGGTTCTTTATTGGCATTATGGTTCCATGAAGAACCTTGAAGAACCATTGCACAAAAGGTTTTTAGGCTATTTAAAGATTGTTCACACTAACAAAAATGCTTTTTTAAAGCTTTTTGTCTTGTAGACCTACTCTTAGGAGCCATGGTTTTTGGTTATTCCTCACCTTTGGTTTTTTAAGAGTGTTGTTAAATCTGGTGAGTAAATGACAGTGTGGTTGTTTTTTTGTCACAGTCCTGTGGCTCAAACAGTATCGCATGGCCCTAAACAGCATGGGTTCAATCCACAGGGAATGCATGAACTGATAATATGTATTACTTACGGCATACTTACTATTATAGAAGCTTGTTTCCGCCACTGAGAAAAGAGAGGTTATATCACACAACTCTAAGAAAAAACGTCAGAATTGCGAGATAAAAAGTCGCAATTACCTTTTTTTATTCTGTGGCGGAAACAAGCTTTGTGTATACCTTCAATGCAATGTCACTTTAGATAAAAGCATAAATGTCTTTTTGCACACTGTGAGAACAGAATACAAAGTAAAAGCCAAGAACAGTGTGTGATCCAAGTCCACTTTTGGTGATAGTCAAAAGATAATATGCTACAATTCATAGTTGAAAGGTGCAAGTACAGGTATAAGTCATGTTTTTCCCCACTTCCGAAATGTTTAAGGAAATGTTGAAGTTGCAGTGCCATCATATAAACAGCATGAGTGTTGCGGAGCTGAGGACAGCAGCAGAGAGACTAATGCTGCCGTATGATTCGCATCATTTCTGTATTGGTTTATTTAGGAAGATGATTAAATGATAGACATCAATTGAAGATTTTTAATTATTTACCATGCCTTTGTGGCCAGGTATAGTGAATAATCTGCTAGATTATCTACCAATCAAAATGTTGGTGTCGGTAAGATGTTTTACTGTTTTTGAAAGAAGTCTTTTCTGCTCAACATGGCTGCATTTATTTGATCAAAACAGTAATATAGTGAAATATTATTACAATGTAAAGGAACTGTTTTCTATGTGAATATATTGTAAAGTGATCAAAGCTGAATTATCAGCATCATTACTCCAGTCTTCAGTGTCACGTGATCCTTCAGAAATCAGTCTAATATGCGGATTTGCTTCTCAAAAAACATTTCTGAATATCATCAATGTTGAAAACAGTCGTGCTGCTTCATATTTTTGTGGAAACCGTGACATGTCAGGATTCCTTGATGAATAGAAAGTTCAAAAGAACATAATTTATTTGAAATAGAAATCTTTTGAAAGATTTTTAAATGTCTTTTCTGTCACTTGTGATCTTTTAATGAGTCCTTGCTGAATAAAGTATTAATTCATTTACTGAGCCCAAACATTTTAATGGAAGTTTATGAACCTGTTCTTGACTTGGTTAAACTAGCTGTAGATTAATGTTAATGTTTGCTATAGCACAGGTTTGCAGCAGTACTGAGAATGCAACATGAAAGGAATCCAAAGCATTTGCGTTCACGTATGGACCTATAATGTTTGCTATTGAAGAAACCCTGCTGTGCATTTCGAGGTTGGGAAAGCTAGCAGCCCTCCACTGACGTTCGATCATTAAGAGTGAAAATAGCATGTATCGGCTGAGGCTGAAGCACAATCACCTCACCGCAGGAGAAACCGACACGAGCCGCTCTCGGTGTGGGCGAGCGAAGAGCTCAATTCATTACGCAGAGGTTAACAAGCTCCTATTGAGCTAATGACTCTAATGGATCTTTGATATCAACCCGCCGCAGTAATTCTGCTCTAATATCTCTGTGGTGGAAACTTTACTGTCATAATCACACCTCGGATATTACTCGGGGTCAGAGCGTGTAGTTATTATGGGACCGGCTGCTCTAAACACTGTCGTGGAACTTTATCGAGGGGCCTTAATGTGCGACAGTTAACGTTTATCATAAAAAATGATGGCGTGTGAGAGAGAACGAGATTTAGAGAGAGCGAAAAAGAGCAAGAGAGGTATAGTTTATGCTTTTAATTAGATTTTCACTCTCTTGGTTGGTTCAGGCCTGTCTTTGTTCGCCGCTCCCTCTGGCATCGCTATGTATCTCTATTTGGAGTGGTGTAATATCGTTATGAATCAATTTCATTGTTCATTTTGGCGATTGTGAGTAAACAAGGTTAAATCTGTTCCATGCCATGAAATGCTGGTGTGTTTGGACTCATAGTGTGTGAGTGTTTTGTGTGTCTGTGTATATATAGTGCATAAGATTAAAAATGAGGCTCATTATCTGGTTTAAATAGAAACTACTGCTGTGGTTTTTGTCTCGCATGGTCTAGTTTAGAGTCGACATGAAACTAAAGTTGCAATAGTCTTTTCTTCTCCGTTGTGAGAGTGAAACGGCTTCTCGAACAAGAAAAAAATGTAGGCGGGTCAATGTCCACGGGGAATTGATTGGATGGATATGGTTTGCTATTGGTCGATCTCATATGAGTGACAGGTTGCTCCGCCCTCTTCATCAGAGAAGAGAAGTGATGTCGCTACAAGAGGGAGGGGAAGTTATTTTGATTAAAGATTACAAGGGCACATGAATTAAAATATATATTTAATGTGCATGGATACATTATTATAATAAATATTGCAATATTCCATAAAAAAAACAAGAATTGTCAATTTTGATTTCATGGTGACTTTAAACAGACGTGTTAACATGTTTACGCAATATAATGCCATTCAGAAACACTTTCACAAAGTCAAGTAAGTTTCTGATTTCTGGAAATTCAGACTGATCATTTATTATGTGGTACTAGGACAAATATTAAATTAATTTAATTATTTAAATATCAGTTAATTTGAGCTCATATACAAAACGGCATGTATAATAATTATAATTTGAAGAAAATTATATACGATAAAGCTTTAGAAATGTAATAATTGAAATACAGTATTATGAAAAATGCTGCAGGGACTTATATAATAATATAATACTTTTAAATGACAATAAAAACAAATCCTAAAATCTGAGTTTCAATCAATTCATTGAAAAGGACAGATTAAACTGATTCACTGAAATCAAATTGAATTTACTTTTTTTTTTGTGTGTCTTTTTGAAACAATATTTGAAATCAGAGACAGTAATTAAATATCTTGTTCTTAATGATCTCATACTAGTATATTCAATGTTCAAAAGTTTGGGTCGGGAAGTACAGTACAAATATACAGTAAAAACAAGAACTGTTTTCTATTGTAATATATTGTAAAATGTAATTTATTTCTGTGATCAAAGCTGAATTTTCAGCATCATTACTCCAGTCTTCAGTGTCTCATGATCGTTCAGAAATGTTTGTGATAATTATTCACATGTACGATATTTTCATTTAAGCGAATAACACAGAACAGTAGAGTGAATGGTCCAGATTAATCTGCCGTGTCTGTGTTCTTGACAGAAGTCCTAAAGAGAAATTCAGCAGGAATTCAGTTTGGTGCCAGTTTTAAATTCATATTCACAATAATCCAAAACAAAAGCGTGTGTGCTTACAGATCTTATAGTGAATGCACCACATCCCATTATTGCTGTCATTGATTTCCTGCCTGTTTTTATATATGTGTGTGTGTGCATGTGCTTTTACATGCTTTGTGTGTCTTTTTATGCTTGCAAGACAGTGCTGTATTGATATTCATCCAACAGTCTATTGTTATGGGTGTTTTTAAGGCACCATCACTGTTGCTACTGCTCTTAGTGATTTGAACAAACCTCTAACACTTATTGTTAAGGTTCAGTGTGTCATACTCCAGCGTTTGAGCTCCAGGTATGAATAATTCCTCAAAACACGTGTGTTGTAGGAGAGGAGTGCTGTTACTTTACTAATAAAACAGGTGAAAACATCCAACAGACTTGCATTGAAGGAGGGACCCGTGACTAGAATATCACAGAGCAACCTGTCAAGATTGCACTACACACATTTTATTCAGAAATGTTAAGATCTATTTATATTCTTTCCGCAATTAATTCAGCTCACTAATAGTCACTTAACATAAAGACTTTGTTTTGTAGATAATTTCAGCATGAGGTATGCTGGCTATTTTTTTTGTTGCAAAATTCATATTTTAAAGGTACACTATGTAACTTTTGGCCCTCTAGTGGTTAAAAATAAAATAAGAACTGCTTAGATTTTGTGGACGAACATTGTTTTGGTTGTGCTTCTGCTCTGTGACTGTGTGGATGAATATGGTTATCCGACTGCTCATAAAACATTCACAGGGTTAAGAGATATAACCAGTTTAGATGGAAAGGATTTCAAGCTGACTATCTGAAGACGTTACTGTATCTTTACCCGTTAATAGACACGCTACTTTCTTAAAAATAAATTCCAGCACAGCGTTACAACAACCATAATGAACTGAACCTTCACAATAGATAATTCTTTATAGTGAACCTTGTTAGAGCTAAATGGCAATTTATCTGTTCAATAAAACATCTTACTCACATGTTGAGTAATAAAAACACATCTCTGTGTTGCTTTTACAACATTTCAAATCCCTCAGTTCTCAACATCTCTGAAAAGCCAAGCCGATGCTGATTCTTGTTTTATTACGAGTTCTGTCGCGCTCTCTTTTTCCCTGCAGACTCTCCTCTGTTTTTTTTAACCGGTGATTCCTCTAGGTTTGAGATTTAGCGGCTCCTTGTCAAACGGTTTCACTCGTTGTGACAACTAACCAGGGGTTAAAGTGGACCGGAACGGTCCGGCACCTCAGATAAATGAATAAATAAATAGATTCATTAATCTCAACGAATCTCGCTGGTCCCGATATGGGCCGACCGACCGACCAACCTCCCTTCCTCCCCGCTGAACGCGAGCGATTACAAATGCGTGAAATGCACTCACGGTGGTTGAGCGCGGTAAAGTTAGTTTTCGATATATTTCGCCTGACATTTGTTTTCCCTAGCCACTGTTCTATAGGGTCTTACAAAGAGATCAATAGCAGGATTAGTTTTAACATTATGTAACCATTGTATATCGACATTAAATATTCGTTTAAAATCACCGACGTGCATTAATGCTGCATATTTATACCTGAGAATGCTTTGACGCGTTTGCACAGCGCATGATGAAGGAACGTCTGCCAAATCCACCAACTGCGTTAAACGTAGCCTATAAATTGTATTAGTTAAAATTACTTTTCAAATTCCAAAGCTTGTAGAAGGTGGCAATACTGACCTGGTAGCCTTGAGTAAATTAACTTGTTTAAAGGTGCAGTGTGTGATTTTTAGCGGCATCTAGCGGTTCGGTTGCGAGTTTGCACTAATGGCTCAGCCCACCGCTCACCCCTCCATTTCGAAGAAGCTACGGTGGCTAAAACGGGACAAACATCGTCGTCTGAGACAGCAGAGAATAGCCAGAGTAAGCCAAGAGTGTGTAACATTGTCACTGTTTCTGTACCACAGTCCATTATAAACCTCATCATGGATAAAGTTTACAAAGCCATATTCAGGTGAGAATGAAGGGTCTCTTAATATATAATATAATAATAGTAATCAGCTGATTGTCGAACAAACGTTACCAGCACATTTCTCCCCACACAGCAAACCCATTATACAGCGAGGGAGAAGAACCACATGAAACTATGCAACTATATATGTTTTCTAACAGGGTAGTAAAAGTTTAGCTGGCTAATATGAGCTTTATAGCCTTAATAATCCCACTTTAACCACTGCAACTAACCTACACCAAAAATGTCAAAATAGCTGGAGCGACTTTATGACGAGACACGCATGGGCAAGTGACGAATACACAAGAAGACTATCCCGACAGGTCTAAAATATAAACACTTATAACAGGCCTACCATAGTGAATCAGGGTACGACAAAAACGCGTACCTTTAACATCATTTTTAGAATCTGAGTTACTTTGCTAGAATGTTTAGCATGCAAATTGTATCTGACAGTGACTGTAATATTTGCATGCTGTTTTGCAATTGCTCTATTTACTTACATTTATTTGCATACTGATTTGTGATTGGTCTTTTCTTTCTTGCATTTTTTTTTTTTTTACTTTCTAATCCGTCTTTTCTCTGCAAACACACCATGTAGTGTTTCTCAGGCACAGTGTTTTGAGATGTGACCGTCATGATAATAGACCTTAAGATTAAAACTTTAACATGGTTCTTCTGCTGCCTTGCAGACACTGATCTTTCCTTTAGGGAATGCAGATTGGGTTCCCCGTTTGTTTTTCTATTTTAATTTTGCTTGCTTTTTAAATCCTTTACTTTCTCTCATTTTCTTAATTAGTATTTCTATCTTGTTTTCCAGTATAAATGATCTGAACTAAATGAAAACATTTGAGAAGAAAAATGACAGAAACCTTAAGAGGCCAATCATTATTATTCTTTCACAACTTAATTTGTGGAACTTATTAAATTATCTCGAAAAAGTATAAGCTTCCTTCAAGACATATTTATATAAGTCTTAAAACCTATGCAATTTTGCTTCTCACATAAATGTATCTTGTTATATTTAAAAAAAAAACAACAACACAAGGTTTTTTTGCTGTGTGTGTGTGTGTGTGTGTGTGTCTGTCTGCATTGAGTTTATGTCTGTAAAACACAGTTTAGATCATCATTCTTCACCTCATCCTGCGTGTATCCTCTTTTATCGCTGTTTGACCATGAGTGATGTTTGTTTAAACATTCATGTGTGTGTGTCTTTTCACTTCACTTATTTTGTTGAAGGCTACAGGTTTCTCCCGTTCACATTCAGCATTCTGCACCAAATGGTGCCAAACACACAAATCCCCTAAGCACTAAACAAATAAACACAGAGGAGGGTAAGTGTGAACTATTGATTTCTATCAGGGAATATTTCACGGAGACATTGAGGGGTTCATTATTTATACATGTACAACAGACATCTCATCCAGAGAATTCAAGTTATTGGAGCAGGATTGGGCAAGAAGCTGATATTTTTACACATTTTATAGACGCTTTTTGTCTAAGTGGCTTTAATTTCATTTAAACTATGCCGTTCATCAGTTCGAACCCATGACCTTGAGATTGATAACGCCACGCTCTGCTGTTTGAGCTGCTGGAATGCTTTTTGACGGGAATGTTTACACAAAATCCTTGTCGTCTCTTCAGTTAGAAACATGAAAAGAAGTGTTCCTGGCATATTTTTCTAGATATGTTATAAAAGCAAACCCAGCCATCCCGAGGCTTCTTTGATCACACTCAAAACTCATGCGGCTACACTTTCTTTGCAAAGGCTTCTAATGCACATATTTACATTGGATTGCCTAGTTTAGGATACAGGAAAACATTTTATTTTAAATGTGCAATCAGATTTGATTCGGTTTGGCAAAAATCTGTGCTTATTCTCAATCAATGTGGACCAGACGTTCCGCTGACCGTCAAATGTCTGCCGGTGTGAGTCTGATGTGTGTGTGTGTGTGTGTGTGTGTGTGCAGGTCTGGTGGTGAGGGAAGCACGGATTGAGATTTCCCGACAGCAGGTGGAGGAGTTGTTTGGTTTGGAAGATTACTGGTGCCAGTGTGTCGCCTGGAGCTCTGCAGGAACAACCAAGAGCCGCAAGGTGCACGTCCGCATCGCATGTGAGTATAAACACACTCACACACAGGGTTTTTTTACGAGAAGAGTCTTTGCTCTGTCTGCTCTGACTGCAGGAGATTCACAGACTCTTTGGCTTCATGTTTATTGACACACACACGCACACACACGCGCGTTCTGTGAGATAGTCTGTAAGCTGGCCGAAGGTAATGGAGCGTTTATGCAGATCAGAGACTGCAGACAGGAGACAGTCTGGAGCACACACACACACACACACACACACACACACACACACACACACACACACACACACACACACACACACACACACACACACACACACACACACACACACACACACACACACACACACAGGGGACTGTCTGGACATCTCTTTATGGTCTTATTAATCTTGTTAATTTCCTGACGTCCATCTTGAGTGTGTGTGAGTTAGGAGCAGGTTAGCTGTGCGGCCCAAGGGCACTTCACTCTCCCTCTGCCGTCTCAGAGAGAGAGAGAGAGAGAGAGAGAGAGAGAGAGAGAGAGAGAGAGAGAGAGACTGGCAGTACACAAGAAACTTCCTCTCATGGAGATTCTTTCAGATAGATGGATGGATGGAAGGACGGATAGATAGATAGATAGATGGAGGGATGAATGGATGGATGGAAGGACGGATGGATGGATGGAAGGACGGATGGAGGGATGAATGGAAGGAGGGATGGATGGACGGATGGATGGATGGATGGATGGAAGGACGGATGGATGGATGGATGGATGGATGGAAGGACGGATGGAGGGATGGATGGATGGATGGACGGATGGATGGATGGATGGATAGATGGATGGACGGATGGTCATAGTACCATAACAGCAACATTGAAGGTGATCAACGATATCTCAACAGCTCTTGACAATAAGCAACATTGTGCA